TTTTAACTCTTAATTTTATATTATATTATAATACTTTTAACTCATCACTTATTAAAATTGAAAAAAATAATCTTCACTTTATAATATTTCATTAGTTTTGTTAATAGATTGTTTATTATGTTAGTTGACTATTAATTCTATTAATTGAAAATATGTTTTTATTAGTTAACAGTCAGTTAACAGTCAACTAATAAAATTAACAGTCAGTTAATAAGACTATTTTATTAACTGACTGTTAACTTTACTAATTGAAAATAAATTTTTACTAGTTAACAGTTAATTAATGGTAAATTAATAGAATTAACAGTCAGTTAATAAAACTAATAAAATGTTATAAATGAAGCTATTCTGTTAATTGACTGCTAACTTTATTAGTTAAAAATAAATTTTTAGTAGTTAATAATCAATTAATAAAATTAATAAAATATTATAAGTGAATGTTATTTTTTTTAATTTTAATAGGTGATGAATTAAAAGTGTCATAATATAAAATGAGATGTTAAAATTTACAAATTTAATTAAGGTAAAAGATTAAAACTAAGCCTTTGGCAAAATATTTCACCATGTTTAATTGTTGTACAAATAATTGCTACTTCGTTAGAGAATCTTCGACCAAAGCCTACAGAATCAATCCATGAACCTTGTACTAATTAATATATGCTGTTGTTAGGATGTCGCTTGTACTCGTACTCTTTTAGAATAAAATTTTTCATATTTGTGTTTTTTTTTATTGTTTTTTTAATATTTGGTAATCATGTTAAATTTTAATTAATTTAAAATCAAACTGCATCGAACTCCATTAAAAAAAAAAAGCTCTTTCAATACTTATTTTTTTATTTATAAAATTTAAATTTATAATTTTATTTAAAGGAAATCCATTTCCTTATCGGAATAACGGATAGTTGGTTCATATTTATTAATAAAGGATGAAAAACACACAAAAAAAACTTGGTCCTACTGTGTGCATTGATCATGAAAACGACCGAAATGCGTGCTCGTGAACATAATTAGGCACATGTCATGCTGCGTGCATTGAATCCCAAAAATTCTAAATTTTTCTGGATGTGATACATGTAACTACTTTTTTTTTTCTTTTTTGGGGATAAGGTGATACATGTAACTTCGTCAATTAAGTACATTGTATGCTTGGAAAAGCAATTTACCACACGCAATAGCAATTTCACTACCGACATAATTTTACAAACGATTATTTAATTTAACATATTATATAATATATTTAGTAAAATATTATTATTATTATTTTTAATTTAAAATAAAAATACAATTATAAAGATAATATATAAAAATTAATTCAATTAATTATATTTATAATATATTTATTTTTTTATACATCTAAATAAATTATATAAAAATAATAATTTTTTTTATTCTTTAAATTTATTATCATTCGTCTTAAAATTTGAATATGAGAATTTAAATCTTAAAATTTTAATTATTTAGTCACCCTATTA